CACTAGACACGAGAACAAAAGCTCTGTGGGCGCTGCTGTCCACACCCAGTCACCTCCACAAACTGTGAGCAACGATCCTGGACTGGGACTGCCAGGAGAAGGCTCGACTCCACCTTGTTAAGATCCTGGCACCTTCAGCAGGTAGGACAGGACTCCAGAGGAATAGAGCCAAGCTCAGGTTGCCCTTATTTAGCCGCACAGAGGGAGAAAAGCAGCTTTCCCACCTGGTATTTACCAGTGGAGCTGTGAACTAGCAGGCATCGCCACGTTTGTACCAGTTCTGGTTAAAGAATAAACCTTATCCCCTCTGATGTAAGTCTGGAGTACAACCTGTGTAATTTGTAGTCTTACAGGATGATACAGAAAGCTTCAAGAGGGGGATGAGGACAGACATAGTGTTGGTAACTTCTTCGAGTGTTTCACATTTATTTATTTAGATCCCACAAACACCTTCTTCCAGTTAATTTAGATACTATAAATCTGACTTTTGCCATGACTACCAACACTTTGAGCCTTGCCCTTACTTTCAGCTGCAAAAATACAAACCCGTGCTCTGCAGTAACAAATTTTGAAGTTTATTATATTCTGGCCCATATTGGACCGCTACTGAAGACACACTTAGAATGTGACTGCCAGAAAGAATTCAATAAACAGCATGGAACGGGCTGTGGAACGGGGCTGTGGCAGCGTACCGTGACTGGCAGCAGGACGGCAGCAACGTGATGGTCTCTCACCACTGTACCCAGTGCCACTCGTGCAAAAGGCAGGCTAGAGAGAATGAAGAGGTGCCCTCCTCTCCCGGTGGCCACTGTCCTGCCCCTTGAAGACAACCCGCTGGCAGACACGTCTGACTGGCCTTGCACATCTGTCTCACACACAGGGTTCAGATGTTGCCAACAGCTCCAGCGGTTAACCCCGAGCTGCTGCCTGGGGAGGGCTCCGAGGAGCGGGGACGGGCTCTCGGCCTTGCTCCCTCCCTGGTGCCGTGCCTGCAAGGTGGCAACAGAGACTCCAGCCACGGGGCCTGTGAGGCTGTCCATGGCTCCACAAACTGGGTAAGGGATAAAGGAAGGGCTCTGGGTTTGAGAAATTAAACTTGTACAAACACGTCTCCAGTAAATGTTAGTTTAGGGCATAACAGCACAAGTGCGATCTGTTAGCCTTTAACTAGGACTGTAAATGTTTGCATTCAGTTCTTTTATGTCAAGAAACCCTTAATGAGGACAGAATAAATGGTGCTATGCTGCCCGTAATCACTGATGATACATTAGCCAGTGGAAACCCTGGCAAGCTTAAGAAAATCAGGGAAATATTTATTGCCTGTATGTATGCATTAGCAACCATATTTCCTCTCTAAAAATACACAATAGAATTAATAGGATGGGGGAACATAGAAAAGGAAAGGATGGCTGAATAGTGAGGTCCCCAACCCATAGCTGAACTGGGGTAAAAGGCAGCAACGAACGCCACTGCCCCCAATTCCAGAGCAGGAGATGTGGTTTGGAGACCCAAGACAGCGTCTTCACGACACCAGACTTTCACCGTAGTGCAAACAATGGTGTCGAGCACCAGGGCGCTACGCAGCTGTATAGACCAGAGCTGTTCTGCTAATCCACCAAACCCGGATTCGCTTGGATTTCTTCATCCCAGTGGAGGAGGGATAAACTCTTGTTACCGGCATGAGTGGCAAGTCTTAAATGCTATCAGAAGCTACTTATCAAAGACAGCGATACATTAGCTTCCGACACAGAACACAGCATCTCTGCCTATTAATTCTCAGATGCCACAGCAAATACAGAAACCACTCCAGTCTCTCTGCTGGGGTGTTATTCTTCCTCTGGAGATGAGGTGCCTTAAACAGCCGCAGCGTTCACCATCAAATGGTGAAGCAGTTGAGAAGAGCCTTAAATTACTCGCTTCTTTGAGAAATCTCACAAAACTTAGGGCAAAACTTAGCAAGATAAACACTGATTTTGTGGGATTTGTTCTTTGAATACTTTGTGTCTCGAAACAGACTGGGCCTTAATGCTGGCTAGCGTGACTACGTATTCATTTGAGAAAGCAACTCTGGTAATGGCAAGGTAGCACAAGGAGCTGGCAGCAGGGGCTTGTCCCTTCCTCGCCCACTCGCCTTCCCTGTGTGGGATGAAAGCAAGGGTTTGGAGTAGCACAATGTGGGGGATGATGCACCGAGCTGCTGCTGCAGCCACACAGGTTGTTACAGAGCTCCAAGAGGCACGGGACTAACCTCCGCATTCCAAGAACTGCAAGTCACGAGTCGAAGACGGATAAAAGGTTTCCTGAAGGAAGTCTCAGCTGGTAGCTGGGCAGAAAAATCCAGTAAGATCAGCATCAGAGGTTAAATGTTACTGATCTGAGGTGGGCTACGCTCTCCAAGCCTACGCTCGTTAAAAATACACTCAGGGACCAGTGATGGTTTAAAAAAAAAAAAATTAAATCACAGTGTCTCTTTACCTGTTGTGAATAGGTCAGGGTGAGAAGTGAAAGCTTTGTGCTAAAGGATCTCCACTGGCATGCAGACAAAGCTGACATCATTGGCTTTAAAATTCCATTCTCCCAGCAGTCATAAATCAGGTTAAATAAACTGGCAACAGTCTACTGAGTATCTACTGCCTTGAAAGACAAGGAAAATAAACATTAATGCTGCAACATTAATGCCAAGGGTACTAGAGCTTCTACATGTCTAAAGCATTAAAACTCCCTCCAGAGAAATTCGAGAGAACCGCTAGAAGTAATCACCAGGAATTAACCTAATGATCTCACCTTGAACCGTTGGGTCAGCCAGACTTAAATATTTCAGCAGATCGGGATATCATTCTGGTTTCTAAGCCAATATCAAAGAAATGTTCATCGACTTTTTTTTGAAGGCACTTACAAGTGGTTCTGGAGAGCTCTGCCACCTCTTCCAAAGTTGGGTGAATTTCTGAATGGGAACACTTACTCGCTGATGACCTGGTCGGGACTGCCCGGACACAGACTTGCGCTTCCACTTAAAATGTGTTCTCCACCACTGTGAACAAACCTGCCATTCAGCTCCTTTTGGAAACCAATGTTCTGTTGCCCCAAGCCCCACCAGCACTGGGCAGGAGAACATAAACGCTGCCCCAGGTACAGTACCTCGCTGCAAACTATGCACACGCTGGGTATCGAGGTTACTCGCTGTTTTACTAGATGCTCTCACAATCTACAGTTTCCTTCTTTGCAGACACACTGAAGTAATTTCAATTTTCAATGCACAGCAATAGAAAACTAAACATTTCTTTAATACAGTTATGGTATCACTTCCAAGGATATTTACAAACAAGGCTAATTATTGTACAGATGAATGTGCTTCTGCTGTTCTAGTCTACTATATTAATATTATTCTCAGTCAAAGGACTATCATGCTTAATGATAGTAAGGACAGCTGACTTGTTTTCCTGTTAGCTGAAAAAAAACTTGCTCCTACTAAAGGTGAAGGAACGTTAAGAAAATATGCATAGTCATTAAATCAAGGAAGCTTAAGCACCAATCCACACATGCACTGCAGGAGACTGATACTGCCAGGACAATTCCTTGATTTCTCAAATAGCTGTCGAGGACTTCACACACAATTAGAAGTGTCATGAATCACAAACAGGGCAATGCATCTGAGCGTCCAGATCAGCACTCTGAAGAACATAAATACATAAACTTTGGATTATCTGACAATATGGATATAAGTTAACAAGACAAACTGTACCAAATAACCATACACATTTTGGAGGAATTATTCCTCTGACACTGCATAGGAAGTTGAAAAGGATTCTCCTGCTCCCCACAGGAATGAGATGCCAAAGAGAGAAAGATGATTTTTTCTGATAGGACAGTTAGAAGGCAGAATAAGTTTCTGGGCTCAGCCATGATACATCATTGGTGTATTTATGAAGTTTTTGATGAGAAAGTCAAGGTTATACAAGAACAGCTTCACCAGACCCCATGACCACTTGTGGAAACTTTACCTATAACATCTCAGCCATGGTGGTGTTTGGGGTTTTTTACTGCATTATTATTAAAAGAGAAACTGTCAGCTGGGAGTGATTACTTGTGTGTCAAACTTCTGTAAAACTCAATTTTGTATGAGAGAGACTCTTGATTCAGCTGAAAAGAAGGTAAATCGGTAATGTTTTGGGTAACTGAATTACACTGGAAAAGATGATTCCTGTTGGTAGAGGGTGAAGTAAAACAGAAGGCATATAGATGGGCAAAAGCAAGGAAGTGGTTAGAGCTTAGTTCAGGAAAAGAACGTGGGGCAAGAGACTTAAAAGCACTGGAAATTTTATATATATATTAGTGTTTAATCTAATTGCTATTAGTTTAGTAATTATTACATTTAAAAATTATTCTTACTGATCCATATCTGACCCAGGCAGCCAATATTACCCTTCTGACTGCAGTACTGTTACAATAGTTAAGAGGCAGTTATTCTTCTAGACTTTAAGTGAAACTAATATAATGGCCAATTTCTTTCATATGGCTGTAACTGGCATACGCTTCACTCTGCAAGAAATTAGAACCACAAATTATTTTGATAGTTTAATGTTCTGCAGCAAGTGCCAGTGCTTGTTAAAAAGCAAATGAGCACTACAAGCTGAAGCCTTCTCTACCCACCAAGACCGTTCAAGAGGCAGCTCCGCTGTTCCCGTCCTAGCTTTTGGGAAATCGCAGGGCTGTCGGGCAGACAGGACAGTTCATGCTGCGGGCTTAAGACTTCAGTTCCTTTTCAGTGAAAGGAAGCAGCTGCTGATGCTTCAACGGGGTGCGTTTCCAAACCACTTTATAAACTTGCTCTTTCAGATATACTCCTGTTTCTGGAGCATGGAATGGGCTCTGAGCTTAAGGAGTTTCTAGAACCTCCGATGTTCTATTTACAGGGTCGTGGACAATGTCTTCCCCCTCCAGTAAAGTCTGTATTCCTGCGCTCGATATCCTTGCAGACCAAAGGGAGCTTATGCAGTAGAGAAAATACTTTCAATCTTTACATGGCTCTTCTCTAGAACACAGGAGAATCACAGAACGTGCAAGGTCCTCGCAATAACCTCTTGATCCATTCAGGATCTGCAATAAAAAAAACAAGTTATTTAATGCCAGAGGTAGAGATGAACGCAGGAATGATGCCTAAGATGGACAAACTAAATAGTAATCCTGAAACAGTTTGTGTATGTTCACCATGCAGGATTAACTAAGAGTTCAGAAGGAATCCAACTCCATTTCTGTCTTGAAATTTCAAGTAATGCCCGTTTAAATTCCACTTTAGTAGGGGACAAAATGAAGGTGAAACAGTCCATGCTGTATCATTACATACTCATCTAAATAGGGAAAAAAATTTAAAACATCACCATGCCACAAATGTGGTGTTCTCATTTTCCCAACTGAAATTAGATCCTTTGCATAATGCAGTCCTTGGTTCTTCTTTCTTTGTCCCCCTCCAATATAAGGAATTTAACTTTACAGCCTCTCTCCACAGAGGTTTACGTTCTGTAGTTGATCCTTAGCGCTGACTGGAACACCCACATATTACAAGGAGAGGAAAAGTATCACCTACACTTGAAGACAGGCTGTCGAGTACTCCATGATTTTTTTGAGTGTACCAGTTGGGAAGAAAACCATTGTCTTGCACAGCTTGTCCTTCCCCCAAGCTCTGAAAATGGTAAGCCAAAAGGTTGACTGGCCCCCACAGCCTGCCATTACAGTCTCTGAATGACGTACTTTCAGCAGGTTTGGGACCTATGCCAGCAAGGTGCCCACTATTCCTTAACCTGTGCTGGATCAATACAGCTTGCACTGAAATCGAAACCTTCATCACTTGCAGAACTGGATGCCAATATATTCAACCTGAATCTAAACTAACTGTTGTAACACTCCAGCACAGATTATGTGTTTAGCCAGCTCTCATTAAAATGGAGTATTTACAAATTAATTTCTGCATATGTTAATTACAAAATTAATTGTTTTGTAATTAACATATGCCACTAATGCACGGACAACAAGAGGACACCATGAAGTGCAGAGTACTAGTGTTTCACATGGTAACTGCCTGAAAGAGAAAAGTCAGTGAAACTAATTCAAGCCATTTTTCAGATAAAACTTAAGAATACGTAACCCTGCCCCTCTTGCCCGCAGGACAGTTTACCTTCTGGGGTTGGATGCCGTGCAATGCTGTCATGAAGCAAACACCTCCTATACACCAAACTCTGACAGGACTGGTAGGTTAGAAAGCACCTGTGAAAGGAGAAGTTGTTTTACCAAAAGGCTTGGGGGTTTATGGTTTTGTGTTGTGACCTGCTCCTATGCCCTGAGCTGAGGGTTACTGCACAGGGAAGAACCACAGTGTCTTTAAGGCAACGACTATTTAGCCAAACTAGCACATAAGATTTTTTAGGCAAACGTTTTTCTTTAAGTGACAGCCTGACTGTGACATTTAAGTGACATTTGACTGACTTGTCAAATCTCCAGGGACAATCACCATGCACCCAATAAATCGACACTGGAAGATTTCTAGACATTCCAGAACTTGTCTGACTTCTTAATGTAGTTGTTTCCAATTATTCTTTGTTAAATTACTTTGTTTTCACATGCTGAAGTAGCTAGAACCCACCCTCCTGCAGTGCTGTTCCACAGGATGACTTTTGCTTGATTCCGATCCCCCAACACTTGCTCCCTGCCCCCTCCCTCCCCCTGCTTGAAGAAAAAAACCTGTCAAATGGGGTTTATTTTGAAAACCATGCACTGGTAAGAGAACCAAATCCAATCCACAATGCCCTCTCTCTCAATGCCCTCTCTCTCAGGGAAAACACTGGGTAACAGCCAGCAAAATTTGCAATTAACGGCAGCATGGGTAACGTGCTTTGCGGCTGTTCACTCCAACGCTACAAAGTGTGTTAGGTGAGCTGCTTAAGGATGTTTAAATCATCAAGGGGACGGCAAAAACTCTTTAAGAAGAGATTACCTGAGCCAAATATGTCCATTGGAGCAGACTGCCTGTTTGCGATCGGTGAATGGCAGGATCTCTTTACACAGGCTGCAGTGCTCTGGAAAAGTCTGTTTGTTCATTTTCTTTAAGATATGCCCAATCAGCACCTGGGAACAGAGAGCAGTCAGCACTGTTCCCAGCGGGAACGCCTCTCAGGATATTGCGATTTCAGAATACGATACAGAACGCAAAGATCTATGCTCTTCACTGAATTCAAAGAAATCAAAGCCTAAGAAATATAATACGTTGATAAACATTTATTCTCATTTTTTTGTCATCTCCTAAAGATTTCTGTCCCACAGTAAAGCGATGCAGAACTTAGGAGCAAGTGTTATGTTAAGCTACTTGCAAATTTAAAAAGTACTGAAGACACTGGGATCACACCACTTTAGAGGATGCCACTGACCCTTTTCGCAATGCTCTCACCTTCTCAAGGCTACCACAATGGATATGCTGAAAAACCCATCCTGTTCAGAAATTACCTGGATGCATGTCTTCAGCATGCATCTTAGAATATATGTAAAGTTTATAGTAGAACATTTATGTGATCAAATTTGTCTTTGACATTTCAATAGATATAAACCGCATCCCAAGGACCTTTAAAATGTGACAGCAAACTGAACAGATAAAATAGAATTTGGAAGTCAGCGTTTAATCACTATAAAAAGAAGAAACTTGTTTACAAGACTAGAAAATTAATCTCTCAAACCTTCAATTCATAGTAATTGGATGCTAGAAAAACACAGCAGTTCTGCCAGAATCCTCTCCTAGCAAATCACCAATGGCCACGCTGTGTGGCCTGCTTGCCTCTAAGTCCAGTGGAAAGAACACCACGCTACGTCAGCAGCAGAAATGTGCTTCCTTCCTCTGTCTTTCTGGATGCAATGTAAAGGTTGATTTTCAGAGTTCAGATTTAAGGACTTATGCACTGAAAAGACCTGTTCTCTGCTCTGCTCAAAGAGGTACAGACACATCTGAGGTGTTCTTGTCACCAAGTCTTAGGAGCCAGGAGGCTGATGGCAGACTGTTCCCACAGAAGCTTCCTTTGTCTGTTGTCCATATTCAGACAACTTCACTGCCCAGGGCAGGGTTCGCTGATCATGTATTTCCTGCCATGAATGCTTACTCTACACATTCAATAGTCACTGTTGTCGAAGTTATACTTTTATTTTGGTAGGGAGTACTGCAAGTTTGGGAAGAGTTCCTATCGTGGCCAAGCATTCAGTTATGCTTCTTCATTGTAGTTCAAGAAACACAAGCGTGCCTGAAGCTTCAGGCCATGTATGTTGTAACAAAGACATTCAGTCAGCTTGGTTAATTGGAAGTCCTGCATAAAGTTCTGAATCACTGGATTTAACTCATAAAACACAATCACTGTCTGAACCTCTGTAACTCGTCTTTTCACTGAAGGCTCATGGAGCAATGCTGAGACCTGATGTGCCACCTGAACACTCACAGCACTTTCAATGGTAAGTACTTCAAGAAGTGACACTGCAACTCTTAAAATTAGAACTGCAGATGTAACTGACTCGAGGAAATACCTCCTAAGTTTGGTTCTGTAGAGATGATGATAGATTAGCCATGAAAACCTCCCTCCCTCTCCATCAGTACATGTTCTAAACCCACCAACAGCAGTGGAATAACCATGGTCCTCTCCCTTGTTCTGCAAAAACTCAGGCGTGCTTATTCTTTATTGCACCTGATCCAAATTTCAACATCTCTACTTACACTTCCTCCTACTCCATAATTTCAAGAATGGACAACTTAATGTGTACGCTCCATAGAAGCTGCCTGGCAAGGATGACGTGACACAATCACAGTTCTCTTTCCCACCCCCAAAGCTGTATTTTCATTTAAGGATACAGACGGGGGAGAAAGAAGACCCTTGTAACACCAAACCCCCAGAGCACAAAGGCGCACTTACTCGTGCTGTTCTGTCATTGTAGCCATCATCGGACATTAAGAAGTCACAGACTCCTCTGGTGGGAATGCTGGTGTTTTCTGTAATCCAGGTGTGCAGATAAACTTCTCCCAACACCCGCTTCATGTGTTCTCGTGTCAAATGCATTTCCACCGCCTCAATTTGTGCCTGTATTTCAAGCAGCTTTTCTTCCATTGGCTCACGGCCTCCCATATCGCTTGACTGACGGAGAGAATCGTCTGCAGTGTCATCTATGTCCATACCTTTGCCTGTGTCACACCTGGCTTGTTTAGAAGTTCCTTCCTCTTGGTCATCTTCAGTGCTGCCCATCCCAGGGGAATCTGATATCAAGATTTTTGCATCCTCATGTGAAGGTCTCCACATGACCTCTGAGGGAGCTTTCTGCATTGACTGGTACAAAATCCTCAGGAGAAACAGCTTAAACCGCCAGAAGTAAGTAGAACCACAGCTCTCAATCTTTTTATCCAGTGCTTCCTGCAAGAATTGAGGAATATGCTTATCCTTCAAAATTTTCCAGCGTACAAGATCCGTCAAGTCCACTTGCCGGAAAAGGTTCTGAACAGAAGATTCCAGGAGCTGCGCAGCGGCCTCCTCGAAAGTCTTAAGGGTTACAAACTGAACTTTGTAGTTTTTGGTAACTGGGTGAAGACCGTTAGTCATGCCCTCTGTCGTGATAACTGCTAAGTACGCACCGCATGGGCTAACAGCTATTCCGTGAGTCCTGACAGAGCCAAACACTTCCGAGAGCTTAATCAGCTGGTGCTCAAACTTTAAAGCAACGTCCGTGAATATAGGAATCAGCTGCCTTACCTTTCCATCACTGGAGCACGTATACACCGTGCCGTTCTGTTTGTCTGCAGTCATAGATACGATTGGCAAGGAATGAAGCCCTGTCACGTGGGAATTGTGGACATTCAGACCCGCTTTGGATATCAGCAGGAGACACCAGAACACGTAAGCTCCTCTTGCAGCCACCACTAAGCTACAGCTACATTTCTGGTAGGGGTGGTAGAGAGGAATACATTTGATGCTATGCACTGGTAACTGGTCCATTTCTTGCCATAAGACTATGGGTTGTCTCAGCGTAAAGTAGCCTTTGACTGCTTTGAGATTGACAGGAAGGATCTTAACCGGTCCAAAAGCACTCCCTACAATAAGTCCACTCATCTTTCGGTTGTTATGTTCATATTCCCACCAAGACAAGACACTCGGGGAATTTATTCCAGACTCTATGGTATTGCAAGAAGTAATTGATTCCTTACCCAGAAATGGAAGCTGAAATTGCCAAACTGCAATGTTGCTATTTTCAAAGAGTACTGCTAAGAGCACGCTACCGACATCCCGGCATTCGTTGTTGTGTTTGACCTGCTGAGTGGTGCAGATGCCCGACCACTCCATGCGCACCGGAGTCTGCATGCTGTGCCGTCGCTGAAATTCCGAGAAGTCTCCTAGTTCTCCCCTGGGAGTGTCAGCCTTGGAAAGTTTGTAGCTGGCTTCATACAAACACTCCCCATAGATCTCTGTCAGGTCCACCAGCTGCACCCACTGCAGTCTGTTGAGGTTTGCGTGGATGGTCAATCGGTTGTCCATGGTTAAAGCTGCGAGCAGGCATCTTGAATTCGCATCACAGCCCAGCGGCGACCAGCTGGAATACTTGAATCCTCGCATCGGCGGCAATGACTTCCCCTCGGGATTGAACACTCGATCCAGCATAAAAGTCTGACTAACCGTTGGATCCAGGGAATTTGCAAACTTTTCCTTACATTCTGCTACCTCCTTTTTTGGACCAACCTAAAAGATAACAAAAAGAACTTTTAGAACAATTGTAAAGCTGTTTTTTTAGGAAGAATTTCCTGGAATTAATTCCCACTTGAAACAGAGCATCCTTAATCACAACCTATACTACGCTGTTCCAATGGTTAATTAACCTCACTACTAAAGACTTAGCTTCATTGTTGGCCTGAATTTGTACAGTTTTAACTTTCAGCTAATGAATCCTTGCCCACTGATCCAAAGAGCCTGTTTTCATACTTCTGTTCTTCAGGTGTGTACTTAAAGGTATTTGGCATAACAGTCCAACTGCAAAGCGCTCAATATTTCAACTCAGGTTATTCCATATTCTCAGCATTGTTCTGGGGAAAAAAAAATCAGGTCTGCAACAACACATTTGTTATTAAATAAGATATTCACCCAGACCTGCTACCCTCTGGACTAAGGAGCGTAAAAAGTCAGATGCCCCCCCGAAGCCCACAACAGTCCCTGCTGCAGACGCCTTTCAGCTCAGGTAGCAAACCAAGATGTTACTGGAAGCACAGTCACCGCAGTTCCAGAGCCCAGCCGGTTCCCAGGAGAACCGCGATCCCCCGGCGCCGGTCACTCCCCGCCCCGACGCGGCTGGCCCAGGCGTGGGTTCTCCTCCCCGGCCCTTCCCCAT